GTAGGGATGGTGGCCCAAAAGCCCTTTCTTGTGGGCTGGGAACAGTGGGAGGGATGGTGGCTGGGAAGCCCCTTCCTCTGGACCAGGGGCAGTGGGATGGCGGCTCAGAAGCCCCTACCTCTGGGCCGGGAGCAGTGGAACTCAGTACCGTGGTCTGGTGGTCCGGTGTCTTCTGCGTCTTTGTAGTGTGGAACCAGGTGTCTGTACAGAGGAGCGGGGTGGGGGTGGGGGTGGGGTCCAGTGGATTGTTGCCGGGGCGCGGGCTAATTTGGCGTTTTCCTTTCGACTCGGGACCTCGGCAGGGCGTGTGCAGACCTGCCTGTCTGCAGCGGGCTGATTTGGCGTCTTCCCCTACTAACAAGATTATTGCTAAGGGCAGGCCAGGATATATATCAAAGATGAAGAGGGAAAGAGAAACTATCACCAGGTATAACAATCAAGGGTAGGGTGGGAGTTCTCCCTGAATTAACTGAGCAGGATTCTTGCTTGCTAAGACCAGGTCAGCGAGAATGAAGACAGGAAAGGCCAAGGATGATATTTAGAAGAGGAAAAGCTCCCAGAACCTAACTAAAGTTTGGTCCAGGAGAATGTTTCTGTCACTCTTCAGGCTTATTGTGGTTGATCTTTGGGGCTTCCTTGCCTGTTGTTACTTCCTGCCTACCCTCTGCACATAATCTTTCTTTTTATTTTCTTTATTTTATTTTTGTTGTCCAGGGGATTGAACCAAATCCTCATGCATGCTAGGCAAGTGCTCCACTGTTGAGCTATATCCCTAGCCTTTTTTTACTTTGGAACAGGGTCCCAACACGTTGCCCAGACTGGCCTTGAGCTTGTGATCCTCCTGCCTCAGGCTCTTGAGGACCTGAGATAACAGGCATGCTCCACTGTGCCCAGCCATAATCCTTTCATTAAACTCTTTTTTCAGTCAAACCATTTGAACAATGGCTTCATCTTCTGCCAGGCCCCCTACTGTGGCTCCTACCACCAGTCAGAGAAAAAAGATCTGGCAAACTCACTTCAGAAGCCCCAAGAGAACCCTAGGGCACAGGCTGGGGCTGTCTTGAGTTCAAATTCCAACTCCTCCCCTTGTTAGTTTTGTTAATAGAACAAGTGCTCATCTTCCCCGAGGCTCAAGTTCCCACCCTTCAAGTAGTCTTGGAAAACCAGATATGATAATACAACCCCAAGTTCTAACAGACTCCATACATTGTTTCCCCACTCCTTTCCCTTCCTCTCCTCCTCTCCCCTTCCCAACTTCCTTATGATATTGTTTGCTTGGTCAGGTTTCACAAAGCCACCGATTACATCCAAAGCTTATAATACGCCTTTCCCAGAACACTTCAAACTCTTTTCTCAACTCTGAGGTTTGCAGCCTCCCACTTAAGGAAGAATGGCTTGCCATAGGCCGGACGGTTATTGAATTGTCCAGAACAATTGTTGTTTTGATTTTTCATCGGACAGCTTCAGTATAGAGCACAGATTTCATCTTCGTGGGTTTTTTTTTTAATGTCATTCAAATGAAAAATGAATACCTAGAGTTGTTACAGAAAATACTCAAACAAAACAGAAGTCTATATAATAAAAACTGTAAGTTTTAAATCTTTTGCATTTTCTGATGCACATCAAGTGTTTTGGAGCCCAAGGGAACTAGAAAGTAACATTTTTTTCCAGCCTAATCTTGAACCAATTGAGAAATAAGATTAAGGGAGATGGGGACCTATATCATCTATCTTTCTTTCTTTCTTTCTTTCTTTCTTTCTTTCTTTCTTTCTTTCTTTCTTTCTCTCTCTCTTTCTCTCCCTCTCCCTCTCCCTCTCCCTCTCTCTCTCTCTCTCTCTCCTTCATTTTGAGGATGATGCCCAGGGCTTCATAATGCTAGACACTGACCCCAGTGCAAAATATTACTTTTATTAGTAATAAAGTTGTCTTGGAGAATGCTGTTTATATTTGTGGGCAAGCAGGTTTCCCAACACTAAACCCAGAATTCAATAGACCACTATCCTGTCAGAGAGGGCATTAGACCAGTGGGGCAGGCCCAGTGCAGGAGCCTTGGCCACCCATCAGTCACAGCTTGGCCCAGGTTCATCCAGTTATGGGCTCTTCGTAGGAAGGTGAGGTGGTAAAGGAAGGAGGAATGGCCAGAACTCATAGGGGTTCCTTATAATCCCAAATGCATCTGCCTGTAGAGCTAGCCTCACTGTGCTTGTGTATGTGTGTGCACAATCCTGTGTGTACGTGTGTATGTATGTGTTAATGAAGAAGGAGAAAGAGGTCAGGAGGGTTAAGTAATTGTTGCTCTCCAAGAAAAAACAAGCATCAAGGAGGGGCTCAGGATTGCTCTTCCACCAACATCTGCTCCCTGCTACTGCCATAGTACTTCCACACACACCCACACACTTATTTCATCAGGCCCTCCATGATTATTTGTGTAGAAAATGTTTCTAGAAGGGAGGCAGTGGTTGTGAATATGCTTTAGGTTGATGTGGGCTGAACACATTGCTGAAAGCACCCCCTCTTCCCTTTAGTATTTCTGCTGGAATTTGCCAACCTCACCTTCACAATAACAGATTTCTTGGGAGGAGGGCTGTTACAGGCTGGAGCTTGTTGCTTTAACAGCTGCTTAGCAGTCTGAGCAGAGGACAGCACCGAGGACCCAGGCTTTCCTCCCGTGGAGTTTCAGAGTTGCAGGCACCTGGCCAGGTAATGGAACTTCCTCTGCTTTCAAGTCCTCGTCTGTCAAAAGGGCATCATATCATTTAGGGCTTTGAGTGATGTGGATGTAAGGTGTCTGGGAGAAAGGGCAAGAAAGGAGACACCAGGGGGAAGGGAGTGAGTACCAGTGCAGAGAAAGAAAAACTGGATCTGCAAGAGCCACTTGGGGGTCCCTGAACTGAGGGGTCAGAAGGCATCCTGCCCAGAACTGAGACTCATTCAGGTTGAGCTGGTCACCCTGAACATCTGCCAAATGCTTAAACAGCCTCCCGGGGACCCCAGGACCTTGAAGGCCTTCATCCAGGCAGTTCAGGGTCAGCCCGGTCCCCAAATGCCTGGGTGAACCAGAAGGGCCTCCCTGTTCTCACCTGATCATCAAAGGCTTCCTTGGGTGATGGGAGTAATGGGAGTGAGACTTCCTGGAATGAGGGAACATGCGTTTACTAATGAAGAAAAGTGAAAATCCGAAATAAAGTTTAAGATAGCTGCCCCTCGGAAATACAGGCAATAGTATTTACCATGCCCCTGCGTCTTTGAACCAGAGGCTGAGTGTTACTAGTGTGTTGTTGGGGTCAGTTGCCCATTTGCACCCAACTATCCTGTGGCTTAGGTCAGTAGACTCCCTGGGAGACGGCTTTTCCAGGGCTGGAGTTGGAGGGAGGGGTGCAGCGTCCCGGGCTGGGCTGAGCTCCCTTCGCCTCGCCTCCTCCCCCTCCAGACCCCGCTGGGTGGAGGCGCGGGCAGCGTTGCTTTCTTATCAAAGAGTCTGGCGGCTTAGTTCGCGCGGGAGCCCAGTCCCAGGAAGAGGAGTCCGGGGACCGCCACGGGTCAGGTCGGGTGGCTCCCTCATGGCTCCTGGAGGAATAGGCTCATCCTAGGCTCTGGGGCGTGCGCCGGCCGCTGAGCTCCGGAGCTGGCAGAGTGCACAGGCCGGCGGCCGTCGGGGCGCCTGCGGGCAGTGCGCTGGGCACCATGCGCCCCAGCCTGTCCCCACTGCTGTTTCTCTCCTGCGCCGCGCACACTGTGAGTATCTCGCCCCTCCAGGGCAGGGGGCCGCCTGTCTGTCCCCTCCAGCGCATGATGGAAGTGCAGGGGACCGGCAAATCTTTCCCCGAGGAGAGGGAGCCCCTCCCTCCCCCAACAACCGCGTGTGCGCTGAGCGTGGGAAGCTCTAAACTAAATCCACCCCCCACTTCACCCTTTTGGGGGGGGGGGCGCCTAAATTCCTCCTGGATGGAAAATCTGGAATCGCCCCTGGCAATGCCTAATGTGCGGGCATTTTGCTTCCACAAGGAAACCTCCAAAGTGCTGTTTGAGACTATTATCCTCGCTTTACGGACAAGGAACCCAGGGCTCAGAAAGTCAGGGGAAAATCTTGCCTCAGGTCAGAAAAGGGCTTGGAACCCGCTTCCGTCTGTCCCAAATCCTTGACATTTTCACACGCGCCGCCGGGCTGCAGATGGGAAAAATCTCAGAATGCTCCAACCGAGCTTCTGGTCTGCAACGGGACAGTTTACACCCCTGTCCTGGGGACTTTGGCTTTCTCATGTCCCCTGTCTTACTGCGCCAGGGAGCGACTAGCTGTTCCCCACAACCTAGGTCTAAAGAGGGTCTGAAAGAGAAGAGAAGGCGGGCGGGTGGGTAGTTTGGTTTTCTTTTCCGTAGAAACTCCTTGGATTTCTGGGGTTCTCCCTGTGGTATTTGTGAATGAGAGAGGCTGCACCCAGACTGGCAGGATGGAGCCAGTGGGGAAACGGGCCGGGCTGTGGGGGCAGATTCCAGAACCACTACCATGCCCAGCGTGTCTTCATTCTCCATCCTGGGCAAGTGTTTCCTGGTGTCCATCAACCTTGACTTCCTCTAGTCTGCTCCTGTTTGATTGCAAGAAAAACTTCTACTCCTGGAGTGGAGAGCATTGGCACGCAGGGGATGTGCTCTTTCTATAGCTCCATGGCATTCAGGCATCTGTAATTTGGAAGAGTGTGGCGTGGGCCTCATTCCCAGGACTCACATAACCTAGGAGCCTCTTCTATTCAGTGTCAGTGCTGGTGCTGGAAGGTGCTAGTGAAACAGTACCCACTCATTAGTGTGAACTCCGAGTTTGAGTTTGGGGAAAAGCCATCTGAAAGACTGGGGACAGTTCAGAGCCAAATGCAATCTGGAGGTGTGTTTGTTATTCAGTGCCTGGAGGTGGGAGAGGCAATAGCTCCTTCCTTTGGAGTCTCCTAGCCTCCTTAATTATTTGCAGAAACCCTGAGGTTGTTATAACTTGACTGCAAGACTGAGGCTCAGCCTACTTTTTTGTTCTGTTTTGTTTTAAATTTCAAGGAGGTGTTGACCCTTCCTTAGGTCATCTAAGGAATAATCAAAGGGGAAAATGAGAGACTTTGCTTGGTTCAAGTCTTCAGTGTACCCTGGAAAAGTGCTTCCTTAAACTCTGATTGGATTCCCTCATTTTACAAATGAGCAAACTGACATCCATTGAGAGAACAGCAAGTTAGCATAGAGCTGGGATCCTCAACCCTGGGGCTGTGTCCACTGCAGTCCTTGTTTACATGTCATTTCCATACACTCATGGTCTGCATTACAGGGATTCTTGAATATTGGTCACAGTCTTCTAGTTATTTTATGGGCTTATCCTGATACTTCTTGGCAGAAAAGTCATTTAATAAATTAGAGTGGAATTGACCTACTTTGTCTGGAGTATTTCCCAGCCTTTGAAACCCTGCTTTTCTTCGGTTTGACTCTGTATAGTCAAACATTTGATTTCAGAATTCAAGGGTACTAAAAGTAACTTTTTATTCATTTGGGGCTCTCCTTGAGGAAGATCATGGGTATCTTCTGAATGGGAGTCACTGAGTCCAAATTGCTCATTCCTACCCATTCCAGGCAGATGTCAGAGGGTCCTCTGCAAGTGGCAATGGCCAAAAGAGACAGTTTTCAAAGGCCTCCTATAAGAAACACCGAACACACCTTTCTCTAATGCTCTGCCCCTAAGTATCTTGTGGGAGCTTTTACCTGGTATATTATTGTAATTATTTACTAATACCTTTGTCCCCTTAGCCCCTGTAACATGTATACTTTGAACTTGAGCACTGAAACTTTATCTTGTTTATCCTTTACATCTGGAGCCTGTAAGAGGGAGTTCATTGGGTGTATGCTGAATGAATGATGAGTAAATGAAATGATGGCACTCAGAGGAGAGTGTCGCAACAGGTGCAGCTTCATATAGCAACAGTAATGAAGAATCACATCTTGAAAGCAATTATTGCTTGCTAAATTGTATATAAACTTGTCAGGCAATGGAAAAGAGTCCCTCAAGGTAGAGCTTTTAAATCCACGGCACTGGACAAACTACCAACTCGATAACCTTAATGAATTAAGTGGAGTGGTTGGGCTGTTTTTCTCTTCAAACCTGATTTCTTTCTTTCTTTTTCTTTTTTTTTTTTCAAGCCTGATTTCTTAATTTTGATACTGTGTTAGTCACCAAGACAAAATACCCAGATAAATAACCTAAAGGAGAAAAGGCTTATCTTGGCTCATGGTTTCACTGATCTCAGGTCCTGGCAGGTTGCTTTTGGGCCTGTGGCGGCAAGTACATCATGCTGGGAGCATATTTTGCAGGAAATCTGCTCACCTCACAACATCTGGGAAGCAGAGAGAGAGAGAGAGAGAGAGAGAGAGAGCTAGAGACATGCACAAAGGGGCTGGAGTCCCAGTATCCCCTTCCAGGGTACACCCCTCACTTTCCTCCACTAGGCCCCACCTACTGAAGGCTCTACCATTTCCCAGTAGTGTCACAGGCTGGGGACTAAGTCTTTAATATATGGGCTTTGGTGGAATATTTAAGATCCAAACTATAACAAACAACGGGCCAGATAGTTCTCTATTGTGAGGCCTGTCCTGTTGCATTGTACAGCATCTAGCAACATCCCTGATATCTGTCCACTAGAAGCCAGGCATGTCTTTCCAAAGCTGTGACAACAGAAACTGTCTGCAGACATTGCCAAGTGTTGTCTGTCAATAGGGAGGGAAAAATTTCCCTGTAAATCTCTCATGTTCCACTGGAGACAGTAACCAAGCTGACAATAGAGTTCACTGCATGTTGAATTCAGAGCAGTGAGGCTGGTGATGGGGAATCTTGAGTCAAAGCATGGAAACAGGTGTACCTGATAAAAACTTGTTTCTAAGCTATACAAGAAAACTTCTGTAAAGAATGGGTTCCTTGGTCTTTTCTGTCCTCCCTTTCATCTTTTCTGTGCCTATGACCATCCTTCCTCAGTTGATGGCTCAGAAACATGAAATTTCCAAATATGGAGTCTGGCACATAGATGCCTATGTGCCCTCACATGGTGGCCCTCACCCCATCTATGGTGCATCTGGATCCAGAGGCTGACCAGACCTTTGACAGCCTGGTAAGCAGCATTTTAGGAAGGCCCCCAAGGGTAACCTGGGAAGGAGGTTATTGATGACTTTTCAGAGGTGGGTCACTGGAGATTTTCTTTATGAACTTGAAAAATCATTTCTTCATTTTCTGAAGAAGTATTTGTAAATTAAAATAAATTCATAAATGATTGGTGATGATGATGATGGTGGTGCTGGTGGTGATGATGATGATGATGACCCCTTATTTTTTTTTTTGGTACTGGGGATCGAACTCGGGACCTTGCGCTTGCGCAGCAGGTGCCGGAACCACTGAGCTAAATCCCCAGCCCAATGACTCCTTATTGAGCTCCATTCCACACCAGACACAGCCAGGTCCTTCCCAGACTATCTAATTTAATTTTCACAATGTCGTTCATTGCCTGCATTGTGCAGGGGAGGACACTGAGGCTTGGAGAGAGAGGTGAAGGAGCTTGTGGAAGGTCACCTGGCTGGACAGGATGGTGTGGGAATTCACCACTGGTAGTATCCTCTGTCACTAAGGAAACCTGCTCTGGGTTACTTGTTCCCAAGGGGCCATCCTAAAAATTCTCTCCCAAACCTCAAAATGACATTAATTTTCATTTAATCTCATCACTTTATAAAATATAAAACAAATACTGAATTGTACACAGCTCTCAGTGAGCAGGCCAGAGATGAGCTTGGGGGTGACAATTTCAAACAGGATGAAGCACCACTTTCCATATGTTTAGGGAAGTCCCTCTCTTGGCTTTGGCATCACCCTCTGGAGTTCTCACAGAGCTCCCCTTACTTCACTGTGCCCCCATTATCTTCTCTCATAGTCTGAGCCCCAAAACTTCCTATCATGCCCAGGGAAGGCTCAGCCTCTCTTTCTGGCACTTCCTCTTGAAGGCCTAGATTCCTATACAGGATTAGAGCTCCACCACTACAGTATCCCCCAACATTGCCCCCAGTTTGGTCCTTTGTAGGCCGATGGCTCTTACCACTGACCTGCACTCAGGCTCCAGGAAACTCTGTAGCCCGAGGTAAACCCACAGCCTCTGATCCTCTCTACTCACATTACAAACAGAAAGCTGCTCAGTACTGTGTGGACTGGAGAAAATAAGAATATCCTGGGCTCACCCAGCCCAAGGATCCATGTTGGATGATTCCAAGGCGCATTTGGGAAGGAGAGTCCCTGGTTAATCCTGTTCTGCAGACTGCCTCAACAGCTGTCAGGATTCTAGAGGTTTCCAGAGTCCTTTCTACAATCTCCCTATGTCCCACCTTGCTTCCCCAACCCCTGGCTTTCAGAGGCGCTCCCTGACATGGACCTGTCTTTTACAATCCTTGACTCCCCACCTGCCCTCTCATTTCCAACAAGGAGATTTGCCTCTCATTTTCTGAGAGTCAAGACTGCTTGGATGGACCTCCTCTGGCCAAGTTCTTACCATGATAGATGTGTCTAAGTTGCACTCTCTCTTCCCTTCCTTACCATTCATCTCAGTCAGCTGGCTTGTCATAACAAAATACCACAGGCAGACCAGCTTAAACAGCAGAGATTTATTTTCTCACAATTCTGGAGGCTAAAGTCTAGAGCAGGGTCCAGTAAGATTTGGTTTTTGGTGGGGATTCACTCC